CGCGCTGGCCGCGGCGCTCACGGCCGCCGCGCTCGCCCTGGCCGACGCGGGAGTGGAGATGTATGATCTGGTAGTGGGCTGCGGCCTGAGCCTCGCCCCGGGACCCTCGCCCACTTGGCTGCTGGACCCCACGCGGCTGGAGGAGGAGCACTCGGCAGCCGGCCTCACGGTGGCGCTCATGCCGGTGCTCAATCAGGTGGCCGGCTTGCTGGGCAGCGGGGAAGGCGGCCAGACGGAGAGTTGGACGGACGCGGTGCGCCTGGGCCTGGAAGGCTGCCAGCGCCTCTACCCAGTGCTGCAGCAATGCTTGGTGCGGGCTGCCCGCCAGAGGGGCGCCGCCGCCCCGTCCTGATCGGGGGAAACCTGAGCAACCACGATGCGGAAGACTACTGTCGTCCTTCTCTTCCCAGAAGGACCGGAGCTGTTGGTCGCCTGGCTTAGCTGAGCCGAGAAACCAGAGTGGGAGGTAGCGCGCACAGAACCAAAGCACTGGACAGCTGTGTTGGGACGATTTTAAGGGCCTTTGCAGCCACCATCCAGTTGGAAAAGTTTGAAAGCCTTACTCCCAAGTTGGAAAGGACTTAAGCTGGATTACCTGGTAAATGAGACCTAGGAGCTGTGGTCTTCAAAGGGATGGACCCTGTGCAGGCCAGCCGTTGGCTCCAATGTATGATAAACTGCTTCTTTTGAGAGGATGGACAAGGGGACTTTGCTTTCTCACTACCCAAACTAAAACATAAAAATCTTTTTTATAACCTGAAAATACATCTGTTGTGGTTGGTTTTGTTTTGTTTTGTTTTGGGGGGGGGGGTACTAGAGTTAGAAACAATGCTGTTTTGAACTAGGCATGTGTTGAGTCCGTGTCGTCAATGGCTTGAGTCAGTACCGCCTTAAATTTTCCTGTTAGCTCACTGTAAGTGAAAAGGAGTAATGTGCTTTAGAGGAGAAACCTCCTGCCCCCGGAGCAGTGTCTGAGTTGAAAAGACTGAGGAGATGCCAGGACAGCCAGGGCTACACAGAGAAACCCAGTCAGTCTCCACAAAAAGACGGGCGAGTTAAATGGCCTCAGAAGTCTGGGGGCACACCTCTCCTCCCTCCTTTGGTGTGGTGAAGGACAAGACCATGTCTAGGAGTTGGGTAACTGGAAAGGATTGTGCTCTGGAAGGAAGCCCTGTCCCTCTGGTAGAGTGTAGCATAACCGGAGGTTTCCATGGTTTTGCAGAAGTGGTGCCTGTCAGGTGTGGTGGTGCCCACCTTTAAACCCAGCACTGGGGAGGCAGAGGTAGGTGGATTTCTGAGTTCGAGGGCAGCCAGAGCTACGTAGAGAAACCCTATTGCAAAAAGAAAAACCAAAAAACCAGAGAAACCCTATTGCAAAAAGAAAAAAGAAAAACCAAAAAACCAGAAATGGAGTTCTGGACTAGCTTCATTACCTAGTATCTCTGTCCAGTCTTGGTTCCTGGGAACAAGGCTCAGGGCTGTAATGGACTACCAAGACTGAGAGCTCCTAAAAACTGGCATCATTTACAGCCTGGCTATTCCTTAAGGCAGAGCTGGCCTCACTGACCAGGAGGGTGGGGTCTCTGACCTTCACTTACGGCCGATTTGGAGGAAGCTGTGTGAAACTGCTATTAAGTTTAGGTATCCCAGGGGTCTGCTCAGCTTCTTAGGAGGACCACGCAAGAACCCCTGACCAGGAAGAAGAAATACACTTTTTTTTTTTGACATGGCTCTTTCTAGAGCAGATCTGAAGTTAGTATTACACTGGTAAAAGTCAAGATAAAAACAAGACATAAAAGTTATCTGCCTGTTTTGGAGGATGGCTTATGGCTTTGTAGGGTACATGGTGGTGAGTTTAACCAAAAGGGGCTGGTTAGGCACACACATGACCTCACAGTTCAGTGTCACTGTAGGGACACAAGTGGGTTTGACTACTGTGGCTGCAGAAAACAGCTCCATAGCACCAGGTTTAGCAGTGCATGGGGAAGGAGGGAAGTAAGAGCAGTCTGCATCCAGTGAGGGCCTGTCATAGTGCCTGTCAGGTGCCTCCTGCAAGACTGAGGATGCAGGACAGTGGGACTAACCTCCCCCGCCCACCCCAGAACTCAGGGGAAAGACCTCAAACGTTAAACCCACAACTACCGCGACATTTTCTGGGTGCGCTGGCTGAACCGTGCTTCCCCTTGCCTTGCCCTGGTTCCGGAAAGGTTACTTCAGGTTGCATGGGTGTCACCAGGGGCCTTCCAAAAACAAGGTAAGGGGAAACAAGCCACACAAGAAGTAACAGCAGAGCCTGGAAGCGTCCCCACCTCCTGGCTATCCTGTCCGGTGCTTGATTCTTCACCTGTAGAGGTAATAGGAGGGGCTGGCTTAGAGGGGGGGGAGGCGTAGTTTAGGAAAGAAGGCGATCAGCTAAAATCTCCTTCCCCCAATTCCCCTCCTACCACTATGTCTCGGGACCTTTGGTAAGTCGGAGGTTATTCTAGATTCTTTGGGGGATGGAAGGGGTACTAGAGATTGTCCATGCTAAGCGTACCCACTACCACTGAAGCCTGGAAGCCCAGAACCAGTAGGCAAGAGCAAACATTCTTTCCCTGTAGTCCATTCTTTTTCTGGGGTAGTGACTTAGGCCCTAGGCAGCAGCGAGGACTCTCCTGAGCCCATCCAACCTGGGTTAGGCAGGGGGTCTTGAGGGAATTCACCATTTCCAACCCTGATCTTGCTGAGCAAACTTGGAAGGCAGTGTGTGTGTGTGTGGGGGGGGGGGAATAACCGGAAGATACGGGAGGGCAGAGAAGACTTAGGCCCTTTACTGCTCCACATAGGGCCATTATCAGTCCAGATTTGGATTGTCTCGATCTAGGAACATTAGGATGCCACAGCTTCTCTGGGCAGCATGATATAATGCAGACCCAAGACCCAGAGGCAACCAATGGAATGAGGCCAGAAAAGTAGCAGAAATTCAAATTTTAACAAGCTTACCAGGGGGGCTTGGGATATGGAACATACCTTTGGTATCCTACAAAGTTCAGCTTCCTTTCCAGATGATATTTCAACCCAGGACTGACTAACCCAAGTGTCCAAATACCTGACAGTAGTCCCTGATATAGCTGAGCCGACCAAACCCAGAGTCAAGGGGGGAGGGGCGGGGGGGGGAGGCGGAGATGGCTGTCCTAAGCACTGCTCTTGGGTGGAGGTTGTAAGCCTCCTTCCTACACACACCAAAGTGCCCTGTCTTTGCTCACAAAGAGGCCACATGGACCCAAACACAAGTAGAGTGAAGGAGAGCGGACCACTCACTGGTTGCCCCTAGGCGGTGCTTTCCAAAAGGCTCTGGCCCCTGGACACCTGCTGGGGCTCAGCATTTGTGCCTGAGGAGCCCTGCTTCCAGGACACCTGTTCTCTTCACTATCTTTTGTTCCTGTTCTGAGAGTCAGTAGTCAGTTTGGAGGTCCTGGCTGACTCAATCAGGAGCCTAACGGTAACCTAGAACTCCATAGAACAAGAGAGAATGAAACAGCTGCTTTGACTCCAGACATCTGGAGGGTACTGGGACAACCTAGACATCACAGATGTTCTCTGGCCATGGGAAACAGCCAGGAAAAATGAAGAAGTACAATACCCGTAAAAAAGGCCTACAGTGAGAGAAAGCCACAGACAGAACCCCCCAGTGCTAGTATCTCCAGAAGCAGGAAAAACTGGGACCCCCTGAGAGTGTGGCCCGCTTGAGTACCTGTGTGCTGTTCCCTCTGCTGCTCCATGGACTCCAGACTCTCCAGCAGGCTGTCCACCTGGGCCTTGATCTTGCTCAGCTCCCTCCTGATGGAGTCCAGCTCTTCAGTCTGGACTGCTGAGACGGGGCAGGGTTGAAGTCCACATGAACACAGAGGCCACAGGGACTTAGAGCGATCCTGCCAGGGCCTCCCCGCCTTCCCTCTCTTCAGATCAGGCTACCCACCTCCTCCCTAGCACTGACAGTGAGGGCTGTGTCCCTCACTCACACTTCCTCTGCCCCAGGGGTAGATGGCTGTTCCTGCAGGCCTTGTAAGGGTTGTAGGTGTTCTTGAACCTCGGACTTAGATGGGTCCTGCGACTCTTGGCAGGCACCTGGTTGATGAGTAGAGGGGTCCTCTTGCTTTCATTCACCCTAAAGAGACGGGAGAGGAGGGAGCCGTCAAGTCAACCGGCTCTACCTCCTCCCTCCCCAGGACATAGCTGGAAAGACCCACGCACTAACTAGTAGAGTGTGCCTTCTCTGTTCAACTCTTAGTTCAATTCACAGTAACCACTGCTGTGGACAAATGGGGACTTGGGAGAGCAAGTATGCCCTTCCTTCCTTCCTTCCTTCCTTCCTTCCTTCCTTCCTTCCTTCCT